TTTTGTCGGAAGTTTGCCGGAGTTGGCCTAAACCGTAATTGACCTGCAATTACAGGCCACCAACATGTTTGTGGGTTTTATTGCTCCAAAATAACATGTTGTGAGTTTAATTGCAACTTTTAAAAGTTTAAGGGTATAATTAACTTCTTGGGTAAAATTTAGTAATTTATTTGACCCTTTTCTCTATTAATTAATGAATTGTTTACATCTTAATACCAGTTGGAAATCACTATTTAATTACTCATCAACCAAATCTTTCGCATGCCCATCTAATTGAAAGTACATACTTAATATGAAATGAAATAGAACTTTCATTGTAACAACAATCTTGTCTTGAAATTAAAGGGAAAACACCAAGCGGTCTTGTTGAGTTTGTCTCATATTGGGATTAGGAATATGAGTTTGTCTTATACTAGGAATAGGAATGAAATGGGTAGACCCATTGTATAGGGATTATATGCCTATAAATATATTGGTTGTATCCCTAAGGGGTTGTGTCACCACTATCACCATCACTATGAATATAAGAATTGTTTCACTCCCGTGGATGTAGGCACATTGCCGAACCACGTAAATCTTGTCTTCTTTATCCTTTACTGCCATTATTATTTTTCTTGTTCTTATTAATCTCAACAAATTGGTATCAGAGCACTGTTGAGATGACCAGTTCAAGTACAAAATTCGAGGTATCAAAGTTTGATGGTATAGAGAATTTTGGGCTATGGCAGTCTAGGGTAATGAATTTGTTGGCATACCAGGGCCTTCTGAAAACCATGAAGGCAGAAAAACCAACTAATCTGGAAGAGGCTGATTGGGAGGAGTTGAAGAAGCAAGAAGCTATGAACATGGTTCATGCGGATGACTCTTATTATAGTGAAAGTGATGTTCTAGCGGTAACTAGTAACAAGTTTGAACATTGTTTGGACTTGTTGGGCGTTTCTAGATGCTAGATGAGAAAGTGGTGAGGGGCGCTGTAGTGTTGGGCAGCGCAGATACCAGGAGGGGTCGTGGACCTGGTATCAATATGGGTCAATATTGGCTCGGTATAGGCCGAATTTGAGATGAGTCACGGCTGGTACGGGTTGGGCTTGTCATGAGACATGGACCTGGTATGGGCCAGGCTTGGCATGAGTCATGGCTGGTATGGGTTGGGCTTGTCATGAGACATGGACCTGGTATGGGCCAGGCTTGGCATGAGTCACGGCTGGTACGGGTTGGGCTTGTCATAAGACATGGACCTGGTATGGGCCGGGCTTGGCATGAGTCACGGCTGGTATGGGCGGACGCTTCGGGATGAAGCGATTCGTGAACATGCACTAGGAACGTTTGATGCTGAGTTGTGCATGTTGCTAGCCAGTGGTAATTGCTGGTTAGTGGAGCATTGGGCAAGGCACACGGGTTTAATGTGACTTTGCAGGGGCGCTGTTGTGTTAGGGGCAGCGTGGATACCAGGAGGGGATATGAACCTGGTATGGGCCAGATGCAGGAGGTCAGCTGAACGAGACAGTTAGCATGAGTCGCGACGGTATAACAGGTCGACGGCTGAGGGCGAATGGCTTGGGACGAAGCGGTTCGTGTACATGCACTGGGTAACGTTTGATGCTGTGTGGTGCATATGGCCGGCTAGTTGGGATAAACATGATTGTTCCTATCCATGTGTATATGTGAGATAAATATTTTTCTCCTAAGGGGCATAATTGTGAAGGTGGAGATGGTGAGAAAAGTCTTTTCTCCTAAGGGACATATTTGCTAAGGTGGAGATTTGTTGAATTATCTTTTTCTCCTAAAGGGCATATTTGCGAAGGTGGAGATAGTCTTTTCTCCTAAAGGGCATATATGTGAAGGTGGAGATGGTGAGATAAGTCTTTTCTCCTAAAGAGCATATTCGTCAAGGTGGAGATTTGTTGAGTTATCTTTTTCTCCTAAAGAGCATATTCGCCAAGGCGGAGATTGTTGAGTTTGTCTCATATAGGGATTAGGAATATGAGTTTGTCTCATACTAGGAATAGGAGTGAAATGGGTAGACCCATTGTATAGGGATTAGATGCCTATAAATATATTGGTTGTATCCCTAAGGGGTTGTGTCACCACTATCACCATCACTATGAATATAAGAATTGTTTCACTCCCGTGGATGTAGGCACATTGCCGAACCACGTAAATCTTGTCTTCTTTATCCTTTACTGCCATTATTATTTTTCTTGTTCTTATTAATCTCAACAGGTCTCCTCCCTCCTCCGTCTGAACCTAGCTATATCTTCCTCCACTGCCTGTAACTTCTGCATATTTCATTACACATCTTAGCTCGGTTCAAATCAAGAAGACTAAATAAGTAGGTTAGAAATTAAATTTATAATTTTGTGATTACAAAGTCAGCGACTTAACCTACTTAGTTGGGATTACCCCAACATCAACTATCTTGAATTTGATACATAGTTAGCTTGCTACAGTAGTGGTGAAATGTAATGCAACCAGCTATGGGCATTCCTCATTTATTTATTTTTTGGAGAAAATACTCTATTTTCCAATCATACTTATGGTGGACCCTCCGGTCCAAATGCTCTTCATATAGCAATATTATCTCAAGGTATAAATTGAAAAACCGTAGCAAGGTAACTAGGTATACTTTATGAATGGAAATATATAACTGTTTAAAATGAATGAAAAAAAATCATGATTGATCGCTTTTATTAACCAATCAAAATACAACAATGGGGTAATATGAACTGAATTAGAACTTTGATTGTAACAACAATCTTGTCTTGAAATTAAAGGGAAAATACGAAGCAGTCTCCTCCCTCTGTCTGAACCTATATATATCTTCCTCCACTGCCTGTAACTTCTGCATACTTCATTACACAACATAACTCGGTTCAAATCAAGAAGACCAAATAAGCGGACTAGAAATTAAATTTGTAATTGTATGATTACAAAGTCAGCGACGTGACCTACTTAGCTAGGATTACCCCAACAACTATCTTTAATTTGATACATAGTTAGCTTGCTACAATAGTGGTGAAATGTAATGGAACCTTCTATGGGCATTCCTCATTTATTCTTTTTTTTTTTTTTTTTTTTTTTTTTTTTTTAGGAGAAAATACTCAAGAGATGTGCAAATCCTACTTATGGTGGACCCTCCCGTCGAAATGCTGTTCATGTAGCAATATTATCTCAAAGGTATAGATTGAAAAACCGTAGCAAGGTAACTAGGAGTAAACAAATATAACAGAAAGAGTCACACTTGTGTGAGACCATCTCACAGATTCTTATCCAAGAAACAGGTCGAGTCAATATGCAAATGTAGTACGAAATTAGGAATAAAAAGGGAAAACATAATACTCTTCTTTCGAAAACAAATGTAAAAATATTACTTTTTTGTTTTATCAAAAGTATTAGAAAATGCTCTTGTGGAGACTATTGGTAGTTAGAACAAAACTGGAACTCGTGATTAGTAGAAACACCTTCAAGGCCCAACAGAAACCATTACTGTTGACGTCAAATGTTTGTTGTTAGGAAGGGATTTATATTTTAGAAGTTGGGGCAGGTCTTAGATCTGGCATTCCATGTCTTATACTAGTATATGCTATTTTTATATTTTTTCTATTCCCCTTCAGTAATGCCAACTTGCATCTAGTACTCACAATGTTGTTATGAAGGGATTTATATTTTAGAAGTGCTTTCACTTTATTCCTAAAATTCAGTTCTTTGATATATATTGGTTCCTATTTTATTGTTGATTGCCTCTGTTTAATTTCTCTGCCACATAAATTTTAGATGCTAACCTTCCAAGTGATCAGTGCTGATCTTCCTCGGACTATTTTGCTCCTAAACTTTAAATATTTAGTTTTTTTTTTTTTTTTATTGGAATGGAATGGAAATAAACAAATATCATAATCTCATTTGGATTGCTGGATGGACTTGATGCCGTCACAGTAGGTCTTGGAGTTGCACAGGTAATTTATTAGTTTATAATTGTACAAAAAGGAGTTCATGTTAAATTTTCGCACAGAACCCCAATATTCTTAGAAACGGTCCTGTAATTACAAAGTCAGCAACGTGACCTACTTGGCTGGAATTACCCCAATATCAACGATCTTTAATTAGATACATAGTTAGCTAGTGGTGAAATGTAATGGAACCAGCTATGGGCAAATTTTTTTTTGGAGAAAATACTCAAGACATGTGCAAATCCTACTTATGGTGGACCCTCCGGTTGAAATGCTCATGTAGCAATATCATCTCAAGGTATAAATTGATAATTGATTAATTCGTATCATTTTCATGGCAAATTATTGTGTGGACCGTGGTCCACAACGACGTCGCTAAATTTTATGAGTTAGAATAATGTACATTATATGTCAGAATAATGAAACTTATGGGGTAAGATAATATACACTATGTGTTAGAATAATGTACTTTATGTGTTAAAATAATGTACATTGTAAGTTACAAAAATGTATGTTGCGGTGAATTGCGTGAAAAAAAAATTGTGCGAAATGATGTCATTTTTTTACCGTGGTCCACAATGACTATTCATTTTTATGAACCCATAATATTTTAATATTTTTACAAACTTGAATCTATAATACAACATGGACCATATAATTTGCCTAGTTAAATTCACACCCCTTTCCTTTGAGTAAAAAATCCAATAAGAGCATACAAAACCTTCACTCTCATGGCCTCGGTCGAATTCTTTCCGTGGTCGGAGAAGTCACCCGGAAAATTTGCAAAAACTGCTATTGAATTGAGAGCTTTTATCTCTCTAAACATACACTTTGGATCAAGTGGTCAGCATTAATAAAAGATTATAACTTGTAATGAATGTGCAACTTTATTTTCTTATATTTGCATAGAAGTCATGCCATGTTTGAATTGCAAGATGTTGAACATGGCCCTTCAAATCTCCGCCCAACATCTATATATACCTGCTACATTTTTAGTGTTAATAATGTAAAGTAACTCAAAATTAGTGAATTAGAACTCCTACTACTGTGGCATAATAAGAAAATTTCAAATTCAAATTATAGTAAATTAAACAATAAGGAGTTTAATACAAGTTTACACATTTTTATATGTATTGCCTCCCAGTATAAATATGCTAGCTCACTATTTGTGTGTTAAACCAATTGATCCATGCTAAATGACACGTCAACACATACGGGAATGACGAGGCTGATGACTATAACAGCAATGGCAACACCAATTGAAGATGCTAAAGTGGCATACAGTCCAGAGACGAATGCAATTACAACTCCAAATGTGGCATAATATGTTGCGGACGTCTCCAACTTGTGAAGCTTGAAGATAGTTCTGTACTTCCTGGAAGATGATAAGGCTACTTTCGCCATCACAATGTAAAGGAATATTGACAAAATGGAGAATATGAACGCAACAGTATCTGCCACAACAAATACAATAAAAGCTGTATTTCGTAACAATATTGGCTTCCCTTGTTTTGAGCCAGGATTGCCGTCGTATCCTCCTGGGACTGTAAAACCAGCTGCAAAGGTTACAGTTAATATCAATGTAGCCACGATGATGTTTGTTTTACTTGACTTTAACATTGTATTAATTTCGTTGTCATCAGCACTCTTCTTCTCTTTCCGGTGTCTTGTGAGATGGCCACCACGGCGACCAACTTTATTCTCACTCCGAACAAGTTTTCCGCCTTGTCTCTGTGTTGCATTGCATGCATATTCAAGGTGTAAGCTAAGCATTTACGGAATATTTGTCACAAGTAAAGGAAGATAATCTAAAGTATCTTTAAATAAATAATAATGTAGAAAACAAAGAAATGTGGATAACAACAATCACTTCCAAATATGAACAAGATAGCAACGCTCTCTGAAACTGAATCTCCTGTGAGTAATGGACGCTAGCCGGAAGAACAATATCTCCTGAAAAGAAATACCAAGAAGACTAACATGATGAAGATAGGCCGGCCGCTAACAGTCCCACCCCAATGGTGGTTTAGTGCAAGAAACACTTAGAGCCTTTGCCTTTGCCTCAGCCTACTGTCTCATCGCCCGCGACTTACAGTCATTCTCTGTTTGGTGTAAGAACCAACCGAGTAAGCGGGAAACAGCCAGATGGTGAGATCGTTTGTGATAATGAAGACATGGATGAAGATAAGGATGAAGCAAACTGCCCCAAGATTTTGATGACGAAGGAAGAGAAAATAAGGCTTAGGAAACCTTGGCTTCGATCTCTAATCATCAGATTTCTTGGACGGTTGGTGGGTTATTCTTACCTCCTACGAAGGTTGCACAGCTTATGGAAGCCGGAAAGCCACATGGAGCACTGCTGGAAATCTTTGACTATCCGACTACTTAATTAAAAAAATGGTTGAAAAAGTGACATTTTTTTAATTTTTCTTGGAAGGATTATGGTGTAGAAATAGGTCGGATTTCCAGCCACTTTTACTTAGTGGTCGGAAATACCGACCACAAAGTAAAGATGGCCGAAAATATTTACAGTTTAAATTTTTTAAACTGAGTTGGAAATTTCGGCCAATCTTTCTAGTAGCCGATATTTTCGACTACTTTACAAAATTGGATGCTATTTCCGACCACCTTGTCCGGTAGTTGAAATAGCTACGAATGATTTTTCGGATACCAAAAGTGGTCGGAACATGGGTTTCCAGCAATGTGATTGTGTTAGAGCATGAATATTTCCTAGTCAAGTTTGAATCTCAACACGATTATGATTTTGCCAGGTTTGGGGGATCCTGGATGATCGTGGATCACAATCTTGTTGTTCAAGAATGGACGACGCCAAAATTCGATCCTGTGGCGGACAAGATGGAAGGGTTATTGGTTTGGGTACAACTTCCATCGTTCCCTATAGAATACTTCAACGAGGACTTTTTGATGAAGATTGGTGAGAAAATAGTGCGGCCTATTAAAGTAGACTATGTGACGAGTTAGGTCTCAAGAGGTAAGTTTGCACCGATTTGCGTTGAAGTTGATGTAACAAAGCCCCTTCTTGCAAAGTTCAAGTGTCACCGGAAAATATGCCCGATAGAGTATGAGGGTATCAATCTCGTGTGCTTCAAGTGTGTGCATCTACGTGCATCACCAAGACCAATGTGGGCTAACTAGAATACCAGCTAACAATCTAGGGATGGAACAAGACGGAGGCAATAGAGAATTAGAAGCTGGCCAAAACTCCAATTCATTCGGACTACTTCGGCACAACCAGAAGTTACTACTGCTGCCCAGTACACAGAGAAATATGGGCTTTGGATGTTGGTTACTCGTAGAGAAAGGCAAGCCCTAAGAAGACCGGTAGAACGGAACAATGCCATTCGCCATCCTACTGGTGACAGCCCCCATAGCTCGGCTAGAACCCTTGACTAGAATAAAATGATTAACGCCTCACGATTTGCTACCCTCTAAAACCTGGAAGATAATGCACAGTTGGAGGATACCACCAAACGTCCAGATGAGACGGCCAGGGAGACACATACGAAGATTAGAACACAAATGAGGCATGAACGCCATCCCGTGCAAACAGAGACACATGCGGCCACAAATGGAAGGAATGATGTGGATTGCCACCCATGAAGAACAGCCCAAAACCAATGCTACACCACGCAGCAACTATAGAGGGCGAGGAAGTAGGGGCACTATGCCAAGGAGGGTTGTAGCCAAATCAGAGCACATTGGGGTTCGTGGATCATCGATAGGCAGATTGATCACGAGAACAACGATCCACCATAACGAGAGCAACCTGGAACATCCACTCGGTGGCATCAACCACCCATATTTCGAGCCACCAAATGATGATAATGGATTTTTGGACATGGCCGACCCCATAACGACAAGATGATGGAGGATGGCAGAGTTGTTGGCCTTAATAAATCGACTGCATGCTCAATCGAGCTTGTTTTTTCCGCATTGTTATTTATGAATTGCTTTGTTTGGAATTGTCAAGGAGTGGCAACAAGATCCTTCTGTCGCTGCTTGAAGTTTCTCATTCGCATATATGATCCTACGATTGTGTATATCCTTGAACCTAAGGTTTCTGGGATCCAAGCAGACAAACTTTGTGCCATAATAGGCGCAGATGAATGGCAGAGAATTGAAGCAGTAGGCTTCTCTGGGGTATCTGGGTGTTATGGAGAGATACTATCCACTTGGAAGTTCTCCATACACACCCCCAGTTTGTAGTCCTTAAAATTCTCCCACACAATAGTGAACCATGGATACTGTCTGTATTATACGGGAGCCCCAACCATGCACTCAAGAAAAAACTTTTTGCGGACCTCTCCCAACAGAAACTTCACTTCCATGGAGCCTGGGTTTCTGTTGGGGACTATAATTCAGTTTTATGTCAGGTTGAAACAAGTAGTAATGATACGTTTTCATCATCTCATTGTGTAGAATTTTGGGATTGGATATTATTAGAGGAAGAAAATAGAAAAATAGAAATGGCGTAAATGTATTTTTCTCTTCCTTCTTTCTTGTATCGTTACAACTGCCACTAAAGTATTTAAGTGGTAGTTTCTTCTTTCAATAAACAGTTTTCCCTTTACCAATTTCCTTCCTAAAGTCAACTACAGAAATGAAGTTCTTCTGTTTTCATCTCCATTAACACATCACGATATGGTATCAGAGCCGCTACGGCCAAGCTCGTACGCCGCCGCCGTCACCGGCGCGGCAACTCAGGAAACACATGCAACAACGCCGGCGGCTCAATCGCCGGTACGCACAGCGACGACTTCGCAGAGAAGTCCCAATTTACAGAGGAGTTATGCAGTGGAGGATATGGAGAATCCATATTTCCTTAGCGCGAGCGATAATCCGTCCGCAACCTAGGTCAGTCCACCCCTAGCAGGGAGCTCGAACTATGCTTCCTGGTGCATCTCGATGAGGATCTCTTTAGAAGTCAAGAACAAGTGGTGCCTCATCCACGGCAGTCTTCCGGCACCGAGCAGAGAGAACAACCGATTCGCAACTTGGAGGCACTGTAACCTAATGGTGTGCTCATGGATTTTCCGATCACTTCACTCCTCCATAGCGCAATTAATTATGCACTTGGATAAAGCGGCTGATGTCTGGGAAGATCTGAAGAGGCATTTTGCGCAATGCGATGCTCAGAAAATTTCTGCGTTACAGAGCGAAATCTACGGACTAAGGCAAGGTATTCTTTCCATAAATGACTATTATACACAATGTAGAACTATGTGGGAACAGATGAATGCTTTGTATGGTAAAGATCCCGTCCTCACTACTCTCAAAGTCTTTGGTTGTCTATGTTTTGCCTCTACCTTGCCTCAATCTAGAAATAAGATGGAACCCCGAGGAAGAAAATGCATATTCATTGGCTTACCGGCACATATGAAGGGTTACATGTTATATGACTTATTTGATAAATCTGTTTTTGTGTCTCGAGATGTGGTTTTCTATGAGCAGGAATTTCCCTTTTCTGAGCAACCAAACAAGACAATGCCACAACAATTCAGTCCTTCACTGGCGGACATTCCAACATCAACCTTAATAGACTTTGAAGATCCATACAATTCTCCAATAGACCAAAGTCAAGTTCCAGAAAGCAGTGCCACTGATATACAATTCTCTGCCTTTGAAAATCAACCTTCATATGGTCAAAATGCTCATGATTCAACTACTGAAAATGTGTCTAATGATGAGTCAAATAATGAGGCTTCCAATCATGAGGATGATGTGATCACTGATCCCCTGCAATCCATTCCTTTAAGGCGGTCAAGCAGGGATCGACACATGCCTAAGAAACTACAGGAATATTATTCTGACATGGTTCGAAGACAGGGTTCCTCTCCTCACCTTTTGTCCAGAGTCATGTCACACGAGCATTTAAGGCCTTCTCATAAGGCTTTCACACTGTCAGTTACTGCCACAACAGAGCCTCGCACATACAACCAAGCTATCAAACAAGAATGTTGGAGAAATGCAATGAGTGAAGAAATTACAGCCCTACAAAGCAACAATACTTGGCAACTCACAGACTTACCAGCTGGAAAAACACCCATAGGATGTAAGTGGGTTTACAAAGTCAAGCCCAAGGCGGATGACACTGTTGAAAGATATAAAGCTAGATTGGTGGCTAAGGGATATACGCAACAACTAGGTGTGGACTACATCGAGACCTTCTCCCCGGTGGCTAGACTAACTACAATTCGGACCTTTCTAGCTGTGGCAGCATCTAATGCGTGGCATATTCATCAATTGGACATCAATAACGCCTTTCTACACGGCGATCTAGAGGAAGAAGTTTATATGCTACTTCCCTGGGATTTCAAGGAGAAAAACCGAATCAAGTTTGCAAGTTGTTAAGGTCACTCTATGGGCTAAAGCAAGCGAGTCGACAGTGGAATGCCAAGCTCACTGCTGCACTTTTAAATGTTGGTTTCAAGCAGTCCACCGCTGATCCGTCCCTATTCACTAGAGGTACCAACAGCAACTATATAGCTCTTTTAGTCTACATTGATGATACTTTGGTAGCTAGCAGTTCACTGACTCTTATCCAAGAACTCAAAGCCATGTTGGATAAAGCTTTCAAAATAAAAGACTTGGGGATTCTAGGCTACTTTTTGGGCATTGAAGCCAAAGTCAGTGAGACCGGACTGAATTTATGCCAAAGAAAATATGCTCTTGACATCCTAAACGACGCGGGTTTTATTGATTGCAAATCT